CCTCATTTGTCATGATGTATGATTCTTTTAAAACATTCTTGGATCCCATTTGTGGAATTTTATTTAGGATTTAAAAACATTTTTAGCACTAAAGTGAGACTGGACTATATTTTTTGTCCTTGTGCTATCCCTACTTGTTTTGGCCATAGTGTTATGCTACACTACCAGAATCAGATACTGTTTTACTCAAAATTTGTACTGAGCCTTCTTCTCTCTGGAACTTAGCTAGAATTTTGCCCATGGACTTTATGTTCTAAATATTTCTCTCTCTCTCTCTCTCTCTCTCTCTCTCTCTCTCTCCACACACACACACACACAGACATACACATGCACACACACATATCTTATTTGTCCCTGGGTTACTTATGGAAATCCTAAAGTGAGAGGAATTGAACTCCAGGCCAATTCTCTATCCTCTATATCATTTCCTGAAAGTGCATTCTGAGAAGTACCCTAGTAAAAAGTTGGAAGGAAAAGATTCAAAATTATAAAACATACCACAGATAAGACTTAGGGGCTGGGAATTTAGCTCAGTGGTTCCACTGCCTGCTTCCACAAGCACAAGGACCTGAGTTTGATCCCCGGTACCAAAAAAAAAAAGACTTAAATTGTTCAACTTTTTACTAGGGTATTTCTCAGAATGCACTTTCAGGAAATGATGCAGAGGATAAAGAAGTGGCCTGGAGTTCAATCCCTTTCACTTTGGGATTTCCGTAAGTAACCCAGGGACAAATAAGATTATGTGCCACATCATTATGTTTGTAAAATACAATGTGAATCTTAAAGTCACAACAACGATATGTGACTTAATAATAAAGAAAAATAGGAAAAAAGGGAAATTAACCTTTCCTTACAAAGTCAATAATAGGTTGATATCTATAGCTGAAAAAAAGGTCAAAATTTTAAGCTTAAATTTTCTTCAGAGATAAGAGATTTTTATGTCTCATCACTACATTATCTCCTAATTTATAAGATAAAAACAGGAAGAATAAACAGGAAAAAATCCACCATCTTGGCAGCCTTCTTTTCCTTACAGTTCTGAATTTTAAAGAAATTAAACATTCTCACATGCATTAAAGATAGGAGGCATGCACCTGGAAATGTGTCTCAGAATATATATACTATGGAAAGAGAACAACTAATGGATTCTATTTCTGTCACTTGTAGAAGACATTTAATAGAGGCTGGAATTTACTAACAAAGACCCAGATTGAGACAAAATACTTTAATTCTCTAGGCAAAAATTATTGCATTCATTAGTACAAGCACCCAAATTAAAGTTAACAAACTAAAATTCCTTCAATTGTCCATACACTACTATAACTAAATGTTAGCAGGAAAAGAAACCTCTTTAGGTGAATTACAAACATTATTGTAGAAATGCTTCCTTTATGTCTTTACCTTCCAGTCTAAACTATTTAGTTTTATTTTTTTGGTAGCTTTAAAATTATTTGTCAAAAAGAAGGGATTTTTTTATTAGTACCTATACACGTTTGCAGTACATAATGATTACATTCATCCTGGGAAGTTGGTACATGTACACAACACATCTTATCCCACCCCACCCCATCCCTAATCTCTTGGTCTCCTACTGGAAGGGAGATTTTTCAAAGGCCTATACATTTATTATTATTTTCTGGTAATTTGGTAATTCCTTTGATTTTGATTTTTTTTCCTACCAGATTATCACTAAGCATTATTTATGGCATTAAAAAGCATTTAATTATTTAAAATATTTAAAGAACCATTTTAATCTAGGATACAAGGTTTAATAACATGGAATAAGTAGTGCAGCTCAACTTTGAAATTATACTTTTATCAACAAAATACTTCTAGCATAAAGATAGGGTGGGAGCACTAAAATCAGGAACAAGACAAGGATGCCCACTATCACCATTCCTGTTCTGGAAACATTAGCCATAGCAATTAGACAAGAGAAAGAAATAAAAGGAATAAAGATAGGAAAGGAAGAAGTGAAACTGTCATTATTTGCTGATGATAT